TCGTCAATCTCATGCAAAAAATGATAGACGGGTAAGCATTATTGAAATTTTCCTATGGCACGATTATAAAGAAATAATACTCATGTGAGACAGTATTTTCAATTTTACCGGCAATTTTGTGGAAATAGTGGTCAGTGTTATATATAAATAATTAAATAGTGATCAATTTAAAGTACTTCCTGTTTTGGTTGTCACTCATTTGTGGAAGAAGCTAAAATGGTTTGTTAAGAACATCTGTTTTTATGTTATGATATGGTTGATTACCTGATGTTGCTTGGTCCTTTGAAAACAGTCATGCAGATCTGTATTACCTTAAAACCGGAGTCGTCCTCCTTCCCTTCCCACCCCATCCCCACATGTGAAAATATCATGAGAAAAACCGTTCCTAGAAACCGAGAGAAAAATCGCTGCAAGAAAACTGGAGTCCAAACAAACCGAGAGAAAAACCATTAAAAAAATGGGTTTTTATCCTGGTTTTTTTGGAGCATGAGGTTATCTCTCAGTTTTTCCGTGTCCAAAATAAAAGGACAAAAACTGTTCTTGAAAACCGAGAGATAACCTCATGCTCCAAGAAAACCAGGATAAAAAATTGAGAGAGAATGTTTCAAAAAAACAAGAGAAAAATATGGGATAAGAGAAATTTTGACCATGTTCACCAGAAAAATCAAGTGAAAATACGGGATATGAGTGAATTGAATAGGTTCATCAGATCCCATTCCGTTGCAACGCATGACATGTTACTAGCTAAAGTTAATTCAGATGGCAGTACATTCTTTTTCTGTGTTGCACGCCATACATGATACACAATTGCTGCTTGTCAGGGTAATTCTTTTCTATCAATTATTTATGTTCATTATAACTTGCAGACAATCGCCACAGTTTGCATGTTCTTGGCGGGAAAAGTTGAAGAAACACCCAGACCCCTGAAAGATGTCATACTCATTTCCTATGAAATCATCCACAAAAAGGATGCTGCTGCTGTTCAGCGAATTAAGCAGAAGGTAAAATAATTGGCTGAGAAATCTTTTGTTGGTTTCCTTACCTAGTTACCCTTATTTTTTCAGTTGTCAGTCCAACTGTTAAGCAGTGCTTTCTTTCTTTTTTCTTTTCTTTGTGAAGAGGGGTGCAAGTTTTAAAAATTATTGGTTTCCTTTTATATTTCTTTCTTTAAATTCAGTCTCTTGATTACTTTGGTGTGGAATGGCAGGTTTGACTAATTTTGCTGTATTCTGCAGGAAGTATATGAACAGCAGAAGGAGCTTATTTTACTTGGGGAGCGTGTTGTGCTTGTAACACTTGGTTTTGATCTGAACGTGCACCATCCGTACAAGCCCTTGGTTGAAGCAATAAAGAAATTCAAGGTTGCTCAAAATGCACTTGCTCAAGTTGCCTGGAATTTTGTCAACGATGGGTATGCTAAAATTACTCTTCTCCTTACATAATAGTAATCCCCTATTATGCCTATTTACTACGCCTTAAAAGGGGTGTACAGGCTACGCACTTCACTTTGCCTTCAATTTAAGCCCCACCATATTGCGGCCGGCGCAATCTTCCTGGCTGCGAAGTTTCTCAAAGTCAAGCTTCCATCAGATGGCGAGAAGGTCTGGTGGCAAGAGTTTGATGTAACCCCACGGCAGTTGGAAGGTTCGTCTCTAGATACAAAGGCAGTAGTGCATTTTTGCACTATCACCTATTGGGCTATTCAATTTTCTTAAGGATTCAATTTTTGCATCCCCCACAAGTAGCTGCAGTTGTTGCCTTAGATTAGCTATCTAGGAATCCCATGAGAATTGGCAGCCAAATTTCATCTTCTCAAAAATGATAGATTATAGTGGAACTAGGTTGGGTCAATGGCATGCAGAGTATTGGGGGAGAAATTTTTAGGATACGCAGGGGAATGCCATGTACAGGAACATACTGGGATGAACTTGTACTGGATTGCCTCTAATATGGAAATGGATTTTCTCTTTTTGTTGGTGTCACCTTTGAGTGCAACTGCTTTGGTAGACATCATCTGTTTGGACTTATGTTAAATCTGTTCGCCAGTCCTATCTTAGCTAGTGTTACTCTTAATGGTCTTTTATTTCAAAGAGAGCTGACAAGCATACATGCATACATTGTGCATTTATTCTTATTCCCTTCAGAGGTTAGCAACCAAATGTTGGAGCTCTATGAACAAAACCGTGTGGCACCACCACCATCACAAGGGAATGACACTGAAGGTAGCTCTGCGAGTGTGGTCAATCAACGTGCTTCTGGGAAAGCTCCGGGATCTTCTGAAGAGCCTCCCACCCATGAAAATCACCTAGCGCCCAGACAGTCGAGCACGCCAGGCCACCAGGGCTATGACCACCCTCATCCTGAGAAGCAGAACTCAAGCCAGAGGGTACCTCAGAATGATGCAAGGGATGGTACTGCCAATAGCAACGAAGGCCCCAATATGTCATCAACGATGGATGCGATGAAAAAGATAGACAAGGATAAGGTGAAAGCTGCCCTGGAGAAACGGAGGAAATCGAAAGGCGATGTTGCTAAAAAGGTTGATATCATGGATGATGATGACCTAATCGAGAGGGAACTGGAACATGGTGTGGAATTGGCTGCCGAGGACGAGAAGATCAAGCACGAGAGGAGGCAGAGTTGGCCCCATTCTGCACATCGGGAGGATCACCAAGGCGTCGCTCGCCTGACTGAAAACACTGAGGAAGGTGAGTTGTCCATAGACAGCCAAGAGTACCGTTCTCCGGAGCTTGACAACCGAAAGAGAAAGGATATGCATGAGCACAGGAATTACGATCGCGGTGAAAGGGACCTTAAAAGGTTAAGGTCTTGAGAGTGAAAGTGTTAATGTTCGGCACATCACATTGAGGAGCGCGATTCGCATAGCATCGCATGTGACTTGGGCTATCAGATTTGTAGAACCTATTTGTTGTCACTAGAGCTTATGCTTATATGTATGTGGGAGATTGAACTGTACTATATAGTTTAAAGGATGGTTTCCCCAGAGAGCGTGTACATGTTTTAGAGATGTTTAACTGTTCCTGAGTCCCGACAGTGTTATGAACATTCAGAAGCAGCTTTAAGCTGTGAACGATACGAATGAGATCATCGCAAGACTTATATGTATGGCCCAACGAGAAATTGTTGTAATTCGGATTGCTGACTCGAGGTAATATGGAAGAACAATGATTGTTTTCCTACATATAATAGCCATCGTTTGCTCCTATCACAAACAGAAGTTTTTCATGTGATGTTCTGGTGGTCTTGTGTTTCATTAATGAGAGGTGATTAATGTCTGAAATACGCATCGACGTAAATGAGGTTCATGATTTTGTTAGTTTGCATAACTCATCATGCTCAGAGACAAGGCTAAGAAAACGGCGTGCTCTCATTCTCATGTGGCAATTAGGACAACCATTATAACTCTTCATCTAACATCATAACAAGATAATACTACAGTGTTCACTCAATTCCTGGAAGCCAGCTTTTTCTCTATAATGATAGCACTAGTACCATGATATATCATTCAATCAGATCATCCAAACTCTGATCACAAGATGTCCAAAAGTGCCAGGCAGTCCACATCACATAAAACAAGAGCCGAAGAACACAATCGATATGGTTGGTCACTCCGGTAGTTGCATCTGCCACCTTTTCTCAACATGAACAGCACAGGCTCTCTTCTCTTCTGTTGCATTGCAATTTGCAAAGACAAAAAAATCATCACAAAATGATCCATCAGAATTCAGAGGCAGCCAGATTGCCAGCTTTCCGGTGCCAGAAATGAGACATGGCGAGGCAAGTGCAACAGTGTCCTGGACATGGAGCTGACACAAGCAAAAGGGAGGAAAGCGACCCACATGGAAATGGATGGATTGGATGCAAATGCAATCAAGAATCAACAATTGCCAATGCTTAGCCCCTAATCTTCTCATCACTTTTAAAGCTTGGGCAACTTCTCAAGCAATGCTGCTAGGAGTTAGTTAAGCAGTAAACATCTTTTGATCTTTTCACAGAGTAAATTGCACATGCAAATGCAGTTTCTGAAATGTTGAGTCACATAAATGAAAATCAGTGGACCAGCCTACTTCTGCCTGCCTGCATCAAAGTACCTTTCTTCCTCATCCTTTTTTGTATGAAAGAAAGGAGAGAAGATACAAGAGATGAAATCCTTATCATTTTGGAGGAAATCTTGGCCACATGGTACTCCTCCAATAATGCAAGCATCACCATGACCCCTAGAATCTTATTGCATCAATCACTAAAGCCTGAGTTGTAAATACAAAAAAAAACTCACTGAACACCAGTGTCAAAGTCTTCTCTACCACAGTAAGCATCACACTGTCACTGTTCTATAACAACCGTTTACCTAAAAGGAGAACTGTTGTAGCAACTGAAACTGCAGAACTGATCAAAAGGCTATCTCATCACTTACTACTACTGCAACTACTACTACTGCAACTACTACTACAAGTTTGGCAGGTTCAGAAGGAGAAGAAATCACCTAGAAACTCCCCAAAAGAAATCTTTCTTGAAAAAAAAATCATTTTATCTCTTTGTAGATGCTTGAACACATGGAGAGATGCCAGTACAATGAAGAAAAATACTCTACATTCTTGGATAGATAGAGCACTCTCCATAGTCTCTGCTAATAAATTTGTTGGAGAAGTTTCTTGGGATCTCCAAGTTCAGTTAAGAGAGAGACTAATCACCAACTGCTTAGTAGTCCACAACATCTGGGATCTCCAGGTCCAATCTAAAACGTACTTAACTTCACCAAATCCTATACTTTGATGTGTGTTCTGGTTGTTGCCACCGAACTTGCAATCCAACAAAATTCCAAAAAATCAGTTGATCCCCTGAACTCGTATTCTTCAAAATCGACTTGCAACCTACCAAAAAGTCCTCGAATTCCCCCCAAAAAATCCGGACTTGGATAGAACTCACTCAATCCACAAAACAACACGGATTGGATTGAAGCTAAGTGACAAACACAGAGATCTCCAAAAAGAAGAGTTCCTTTTTTTTTAACCATAGTTATAATATCCTTTTATTAACAATTAAACGTGGAACTGAAAGCTTAACAACGCTTAAACACAAAATATACTTTGATTAACCCACGCTAAATTTACCTCTATACCCCCCACCTCAACGCTACAGTAATTACCGACATTTATGCACACCTCGCCGTCGCCGGAGCCGGAGAAGACGAGACAGCTAGACCTCGACGCGGCAGTAGGTGGCGGTCTGGAACTTGAGGCCATTGGCGCCGGGGTAGCCGTTGCCGCCGGAGGCGATGAAGAAGGCCGGGCAGGTGACGAAGAGGTGGTAGTGGCCGGAGATCCAGCTGCCGACCTTCCACCGGACGCGGCCGTCGATCTTGACCTGGAGGATGAGGTACTCCGCCGCGACGTCCTTGGCGAGGGCGTCGCCGAGGTAGGGCGCGAAGGGGACGTCCGGGCCGGAGAGCACCGGCGACCAGACGTCGACGTCGCCGTGGCCCTGGTACACCGGCGGGAGCGAGGCGGCGAGCGTGATCTGCTGGTACTTGTAGGAGGCGTAGACGTCGAGGCGGTCGTAGTAGACGCCGACGCGGTCATTGGGGTTGCGGGAGGCGACGGTGACCTGGAGGGCGGTGGAGAGGACGCCGGAGGTGGAGGAATTGGAGAGGTCGAGCTGGCGGAGCGTGGCGTCCTGGAGGAAGAAGCGAGGGTGGGTGGGGCGGAGCACGAGGTAGACGATGAGCGCGATGATGGCCACGATCAGGGCGAGGCCGAAGAGGATCGTCAGCAGCCGCCGGCACGCCTGCCGGATGTCGTCGTCGCCGTGGTTGCCGCAGTCCTTGCCCATCGCCGCCGGCGAGCTAGCTCCCTTGCTATGGATGGATGGATTTCTTGGCTTTCTTGGCTTCGTGTGAGAAGAGGAGAGGAGAAGAGAGGAGGAAATTGAGTTGGAATGGAAATGTGAAGAGAGAGATAGAGAGAGGGAGAGTGAGGTGGCCGTTTGGGAATGTGAATGTGAATGAATGAATTTTGGGGAGATGGATTCTTAATAAATGGGTCACCCTCTCTCCCTTTTTCTTTTCTTTTGTGGGTTTGTTTATTTGATTATTTTATACAGAGAGACAATGGATGAATGGGTTTGGGTGAGGTGTGTTGTTATATTATGGGATCATGTTGAAATCATGGGGTTGCTATATACTCGTTCCCTCTAAAAAATCTAACATAGTATTATTACATAGGATATTTCTTAATATAATGAATCTGGATAGAAGTTTATCCAGAATCGTTATGCTAGAAAATATCATATATTATACTAGTTGATTTTTTTGTCGAAGAGAGTATGTGAGGGTTTTCTTATGCTTTTGTTGAAATGTAGTATGGTTTATGTGAAATACTTTGGTTTTCAATGCATGCGCCGGTGATTTTTAGATATACGCTGACTATTTATTTTATTTGAAATAATAAAGTAATTATCATTGTTTTCGTTGTAATTTGTTTTATCATTAGAGGTACGTTAAATATGATTTATATTTTCGGGATTGCTATATGTCATTCGAATGAAATTTGGGGAAGAAATCTTACAGATTTTGGACCATTGGATCCATGCCAAAATTCGTGCATCGGCTTCTCTCCTCCAACTCCGGTGGTCTCCCCTTCTTCTCCGGCGCCGGCGACACCCCAACTCCGGCAGGAAGCATATGGGTTAGGGTTTGGGGTTGGGGTTAGAGTAGGAGGGGGTTGGGGGAGGGGGAAGAGGGGGTTTCCTCGGAGCTTAGAGGAATGGCCGTGGGCGGTGGACTTCGGCTGGTGGTGAGGCGGCGGCGGCGCTGCCGAAGCCGCGGGGATGGAGGATGGTGATGGGCTGGCGTTGGCGGCGGGGGCAAAGCAAGCGTGTGGTTAGGAGGCAGCGGGCGGTGGTTGCGGATCCGGCGGCGGGGAACCGCCGGAGACAAGGACGGCGGGGCGGGGGCACCTCGTCGTCACTGCCTCGAGGACAAAGAGAGGGGGGAGGGGGAGGGGGAGGGGGGCTCGCCGACGCCGTTGACCCCTTCCGGCCAGTCGGCAAGGCGGGCAGCGGCGCGGTGGGGTAAACACCCAAAATTTTAGCCAAAAACTTAAAATACGATATTTTAGAATTTGTATCCAAATTTTCAAAGTTTTTGTTCTAGGGGTATTTTGGTCATTTCGACAAATTTGTATAGTACTAACGGAGACTAACCAGACGGCGATGGTAAATCGTAGAAGTTAAGCAAAAGTCGATGGCATATTGTATAACGTAATAAAGTCAGTGGCAAATCGTAAACGTGTAACAAAGTGAGTGGCATACAATGGATTCTCTCTTTGCTTTATGTGAAATTCTCTGATTTTCGATGCATGCGCCGGTGATTTTTAGATGTACGTTGAATATTTATTTTATTTGAAATAATAAAGTAATGATCATTTATTTTATTGTAATTTATTTTATCGTTAGAGGTACTTTAAATATGACTTATATTTTTGCCAGAAGTAATTATATCATACATTGAAACTAGACAGTGTGTATATTATTGCGTATATTTGTTTGGGATACATCAAATTACTGGAAACAATTTGTTTAAACTCAAAGAGGAGTTAAAATTATTCCAATTGATCCAATGCATCGGTGGATGAACTTTGTTTTTAATCTTGGAGTAAAACGGGCGATAATTGTAGAGGAGGGCTTAATTGAAAAGGGATTTCTCACTTTTTTTTTGGGAAAAAAAGAATTTGCTGATAAATAGCTATAGAAGTTTGGTGTTATACAAAATAGGCTTTAGTAAAAGAATAAAGCTAAGTGCACAACAAAACCTTTTCTTTTCTCAGAAAGAAATGAAAAGGATGGAAAAGACAAAGGTCTTCTTTCATGAATCACCAAACTATGTTTTGTATCCATCACCTTTATGAACCCACAAATATTACAGTTACAGGTCTGTTCAAGTGTTGCAATTAATTAAAAATATTAAATAGAAATTCAATATTCAGGGGACAGTTACATGTAAATTTATTGTAGTAGCTAGGAAGATCTCATTAGAAGAGTATATCAGCTCCATGTCACTGATTAAAGGGAACTTAACAGAAATCTCAGCAACAGCTTATCTTTACAAGCTATAGATATCTCAGAACAGAAGTCAATGTGAGATTGCAACAACGACAAGAACCTCCTACCTGATGATTCTACTGAAAATGCTCAATGCATATTGTTATGTGTCAACCGACCATAGATATAATAAAGTCGTCGTTCAACCAAACATTAACTTTAAACAAGTAGTTGCAAAAGAAAAGGTCAAAGTTGATCATGATCTAAGGCATCTAATCAAGATTAGTATTTATCTATGTTTCTAAAAAGAATTAATATTCCTCTCAAAGAGGGAAATATGTTTATTTTTATTTTTTTAAAAAGAAGGATACAATGGTCCATGGCCGTTAGTTGATTAGATTTCTTATAGTGAAACTTTTTTGTGCTCGTATTTGTAACTAATTATTTTTTTAGTAGGAAGCGATATATCTGTCGACAACGGTGAGATGTTTGTGGTGATTCTTGCAATGTTAAGATATGTCTAAACAATCTTTCGAAGGTGCTCGTATAAGTAAAAGGTATTCCTTCAATCGCAAAAATCTTAACCTTGGAGGGTATGTGACCTGCTAGTAGAACGAATTTAGACAAATGGTTGACTAGATTTATTGGGCTAGGTGACCCCTCCTAGGTTTAGGTTGAGGTTTTCTTAACTGAGTAGTGTTTACTTATAGGGATGAGCGAGCGTGTGCGCGTATATTAGTATATGTGTTTGTAATTTTTTAAATAAAAGAAAAAGAACAACAGTAAACCACACTGTGCTCTTAACTTATTACTATTCATGCTTGATTGACATCATCTGAATTCTGCACTGTACAGAATTGAACCAAATTTTTAATAAAGAAAATAGGAGTAATAAATTGACTGTGACGAAACGTGCATCCGCTCATCTGGCAATAGTACGCAAACCGAAGAGGGAGGGACCCAGCAGAAGCAGAAGAGGAAAAGCAGGAGCTAGAAATGACGTGGTTTTGATGGCTTTGTGCCCGTTGGAGTCTGCAGGGCCCACCAGGCAGGCAGATATTGTCATCACTAAAAAGAAAACGTTGGCTCTCCCCCTGCTGCTTCCATGCTTTTGAGCAGGGGAAGTCGCTGTAATTAATTTTAGCTTACCTGCTAACGACCTGTCAACGAACCAATCGAGAAGACTTTTGTTAGTACAGAACTGAGATCAATCAATCCGTTAATTCTATGGGCATTATCATTCAATTACTTTACTCTTAATCCGTTAATATGATCAAAGAACCAGATAGAGCAACTGTAGCTTAATTACTTTACTCTTACCAGTGACACTATCACTCACACTTGTAGGACTATGATGGCTTGTTAATTATAATCAATCATGTATATGTAAGATAAGTAAAGTGAGGACGCGTTGATTCTGGAAGGCCATGTGGCACATGTTACACGCGTACGTACGAACCATAGCCTTGCACACGCCGCTCCATTAAAATTTTGGTTTCTTCTTCTCCTTCAATTCAACAAGAGAAACATCCAACAGTTGGAGGCACTTGCAAGCAAGCTGCTGCTAGCAAGGTGTGTCCTACGCGGCAACGAAAGGACAATCCCAATTCTCCAGCCGGCGACACATGAGACGCGTACGCACATGCCGCTCTGTTCAGCACTCCCTCCATTCCCAACTTCTTCTCCTCTCATTTTTCACATGAAAGTTTCACAAAATACTACTACTCTATTCCATAAAAAAAATAAACTTTAGCTACGAATCTCTACACGCATGTATGGTTCGTAGTTAGGATTGAATCTGTTTTGAGACGGAGGGGGTAAACTGTAGTCTCTCCGTTCATTAAAAAACCAACTTAATACCAAATATGACATATCTTATTTTAGTATTATGATTCTACTTTAGTTTTTTATGAGACGGAAGGAGTATATGTTCTTACGTAAATTGTATATAGAAAAATTACTTTAAAAATTATATTAATTTATTTCTTTTTTAAATTATTAGAGTTGTTCCGTTTTACGGGTTTTGTGAAAGATAAACACGGAAGGATGGAACTGTGCTAATTTAGCCTACCCTACTCATGGGTTGTTGACATGATGATGGTGATTATGATGAAGGAGGCAGGCATCGAAGCTTCGTCGGGTTGGCACGGTCGGACCAAAAGCGGCTTTTTAGTGCCCAATCCACCCAACTCTCAACCTTGATCGTCTCTTTGCTTTTTAACTTGGCCCCAGAATCCGATTCTCCTAAAGCCTAAATTTTTCCTCCCTTTCAACTGCACACGTACTACCTGCTACTGCTGGTCCTTCCCCCTCTCTCTCTCTCTTTCTCCCTATCTAGGTAGAGTTTCTAGAGCATCAAATTCTATCACTTTTCACGTAAATGTAAATCCTGTCACTTTTAGATGGTAGTGTTAAGAAGAGAAGAGAGTGGTCTGCTGCAGAACCAAATTTTACCAATGTATAAATATCAGATCAGTGAATGAGAATTCGACACACAGAAAACACTGCTAAATAAAGAGGACAAAGTAGACGGGGAGAGGGGAGTGTGACCGGGATCAGAATGGGACCTCACCTCCTCCCCTAATCCCAATTTCCGATTTCGAGTGCATTGTGCAGTCTCACGTATGCATCAGGTCGTTTTGGTGCACGACGGTGGTGAAGACGAAAGGAAGACGGACAGCGACCTATCTCTGCTCCTCCATGGCCGTCGCTCTCCCTCCCTCCCTCACATCACAGACCAAGACGACGACCCACATATAGGAGTAATTTACTTCTACTCCCTTCTTTTTCCAGTTCTCACTCGCCGTCCGTACGCCTGTGACTTCCAATTGACTGCATCTATTTGACTGACGCTTACTACACAACGCAACCATCATGGCTTTCAAATCCATGGGAATAATACTACATACTCCTACATGACAGGGCAAGGGTAATTAAGAGATAATCATATTGGTTTTGACTGGTTTTGACCCATCAGGGGCAGCATAAATCCCTTTCCTAGATATTATTAGGCCATAACATACCAAGTCTACTAATATAAATCCCTTTCAGAAATTAGGCCAAAACATAACAAGTCGGCTAATATAGACAACCCTTCCCTTGTAGCCCATCCAGGAGATAAGATCATCTCATCTTCGTAGGACAACTCCAGGCCATTCCTCACCAACCCCCTCCAATCCTACCTCCATTCATCGTCTCCTTCCTACTGTGCCCATTTCAACGCCCAAAACCGATCATTCCATCACACACACAAAAAATATACGGGCATAACAATCCAACATGCCCAAATCTTCACAGAAGAGGAGGCTAGAAAATATATAGGGGTAGGCAGATTCTAACAGGATTTTTCCTCCATCAAGGCCACTCTCACACATATCATCTTCAGTCTTCTTCCACAATAGACCTCCTACCTACCATCAAAGATTGAGTGCTGCCTGCGGCAAACAACTACAACTACAACTACAACTTATCTGTGGTTATCCAATTGGTGTTTGGTTAACTCACCTCTGGCCGTATTTGCCATATCCTTTGCACTTGCAGCCATGGCCATCCACACCAATGGTCAGGTCACTAGCAAAGCAGTTGCCTCAATGTCTGCAGCTGCAATGATGAACCTGAATCCAACCAGCACCATTAGCTCAAGAACACACATAAAATTAATCAAAGCGCAACCTGCAATCCTGCAAGGAAATGCAGACAAAAGGGTATACAAGGTGTGGCCCTGCTATGCAGGATTTAGGTTGTAACAGCGCTGAGCTTTTAGGTCACATGGAGTAAAATAACAACAGGCAGGCCCAGTACTATCTGAATTCTGAACATGACTGGTAGGCCAACAACCCTACTTGAAAGTTAATGAATCATACCAGGTTGTATAGTTTTGTAATGCTGGGTTGCTCCCCAACAATTATTGAAGGCTCCTAAATAATGCCAACAAAATACTTGGGACATGGAATTTCTAACAAGCATGCAACAACAAACAGAAAAGCACAAGTATGCTTGTTAAAAACAAAATCGGTACTGGGCTTATTAATGGCTAAATAATGAAACAACCATATACTTGCACAGAGGAAAAAATAATGTACGAATGATACAGTAAGCATGGTAATATCAATGGACATGCACATGATATAACATTCAAAAAAAAAAAAAACCTTCAGTGATTCAAGAGAAGCTAAACAGCAATAGTATTCCTATGTCAGTTACAGTATAAATCTCTAAAAAGAGTAGCTCTGCACAAGACACCAGCAACTGCATTCAACTGAAAGTGTTCTACTCAGGAACAACCCAGTTTTCCTTTTCAAAGGTTGTTACCAAATACCAAACTTCCAGGTAAAAGTTGGATGGTGATGGGTGGATTATGTTATGTGTGGTGCAAGAAAGGCATTGTGAATCAATCAAATGTTACAAGGGAAGTCAGCAAGCATTACTGCCCCACAAACATAAAACTGAGTACAAGTAAAAAAAACAATAAGAAAAGGTCAAAAATTCATAAACCTGTACTCCAAAATCACTGAAACTCAAGAAACACTCCTGAGCTGGGCTGGGCTGGGCTGGGCTGCATCATCAGCCTAACAATGGGGAAGCTAAATACAGGACTAAGCAGCATATTTGATATAAAAGCAACACTGAACATAGATTGGATCAGATGGATTGAAATGGCTACATTACTAATCTACAGCCATCCGATCCTGTAGTGGAAGCTTATTAGACCATATTGCGATGCGCTTGATCAAACAATAGATGTACTTGCAGCCAACTAATGAACTAAAGCTGCAACGTCCTCCTCAAGCAATTAAATCAGTAGTACCAAAAAAAAATAACCAGACAAATAAATGAACAACATGAGTTACAATGTAGATTTGAAATCAGGCACACATATAGAACTAGAGAACATATCTTGCTTTCAAGCAATAGTAGCTTAAAGTATGAATGTTCCCTGTGGTTCCATACATGTTTAAATTCCTCTCAGTGTGCAAAACAACCACCAGGGTATAATCACTCTAGCCAATTATCTCCAACATAAGTCATATACCCACCCATTAAGGATAAATCAATCCAGACTTTTCCATGTTAAGGATTCTATGGTGGCCGGGTAAACTATAGTAACCCAGCAGCTATCACTCATCAATCAGCGGCAGATCAACTTCTTATAGCGCCAGTCAACTTGCCGTACCTTCGGAAGATGCTCCCATAGATCAGCATCTGAGGTAGTCAATGACCACAATGCAGTGATCCTGATAAGAGCAGACAGTTAGCTACGTCCAGAATTCCAGAAATTCTAGTATACATCGTGTATAAGTACTGAATAAAACTGAATCACATGTCAAGGTAACAATACTTTTTTGTAAGCCAGAGTATCCAATCTACAATAATGTTGCATTAAAATAACACTAGGATTTGATTTGTTATGCAAGTAGTTGATTCCATAGGTTATGGTGATGATAAATTCCAATTGTAATAGAAGTGAAATACAATAGAATGCAGTAGCAAAAACAAAAAACAAGAAACAAAGCACTAGTTGCATAAGGTATCCAGGGTTGCTGCATAGCAACTAGCGAATATGACTCCCTAACTCCCTAACAGCAGCAAACATACTTAGGCCCCCTTTGATTCAAAGGAAATTCATAGGAATTTTAAAGGATTTCATTCCTATAGGAATTTTTCCTATATAGCGCTTTGAATCAAAAGGAATGAATCATATGTAATCCCATGAAATTCCTATGGAATGCCTCTTCCCATGCAAGTTTTGGAGGAAATTTAGCATGAGGTCCTATGGAATGCCTCATGTTAAGAATCCTTTGAGTCTTTATCTCTCCTCAAATTCCTGTGTTTTTCCTGCGGCTCAATCAAACGGTCATTCCTATATTTTTCCTGTGTTTTGCAATCCTCTGTTTTACACTTGTATTCTTATCAGAATCCTATATTTTTCCTATTCCTCCGTTTTTTCATTCCTGTGATTCAAAGGGGCCCTTAACAAGAAACATAGTCCGCACATAGGCATAGCATCAGCTGTTCAAGTTTCCGAGAAGATGCAAAAAAAAAAACATATATTTGAATTCATTTTCTAGATTTGCAGGACTCTTAATCTCAACAAACAGCTAAATTTTCATATCATGCAGCAGGTGTCCATGTGGACAACCACCATGGCCTTTGCAAGCCCATTAGGGTGTAACGATCAATGCTTTGGGAAATTTTGAAAATTCTAACATGTGAGCTTCAGAATCTAAACTGAAAAGGTGTGCCCAAAATGTGTAGAAGGAATTACATTATCCTAATGTGCTCTCCATAACTCAATAACAGAAACAGGCAATACCATAATAGAGATGAACTTGGTAACTCAACTCATGTATATTAACTCTCATTTCTGAGTTCCGGTAAAATCCAGGGCAACTGTGATGTAAGTTTCTTTTGTTTTCGATGCTTTTCAAGGAGGTTGACCATGTTAATACAAGACCCCAATGGAACAAGTATCCCTCGAATATATTGTTTCATTCATTCCAGCTTAGTTTGTCACCGCGAGTCAAGCATACATAAGTGAAAATACATGCCAATCTGACGGGTATACCATGCACATCGCAAGAAATGGTGTTCTCTATTCACATAGTTGTGCACAGACAAGTTTCATTCCTTTGAAATTGTTGCTGACCAACATATATAAAAATAGAGAAGGGATGATTCCATAGTATCATACATCTGCCAGGTTTTTTCTGTTTACTTAGGATAATCACCCTACATATGTTGGGCCCTGTACTATATACATTTTTTTTTTTAAAAAAAGATACTATCAGAGGTGTTATACTCATAACCCAGATGGCATGTAACCTGAACATGGCCCCTAGACTTGACCACACAGGTATTCCTTCATATTGACCTGCAGTCATCTCTCTGTTCAACTTCAATGACCAAACATAGAGCACTTGACTTGTGAATTAAAAGACCCAGCGCAAATAAGGACAAGCGAAACGAAACCTAAGTCAAGGCCATCATATCCAGACCAAGGTTGCAACGGACAAATTTTGAGATTTCGCATCAACTTTAAATCCCCTCAATAGAATTACATACATATCCCTGCCACGGTTTTTGATACTCCTATAATTCAATCCATACACAAACAACTTCACAACCATGGAAGTAATAAGCTTAATAAAATGCACAAAAATGAGAAGATGATGATCAAAGCCTAAACGGGAAGTGATCACTATAGAACTAACCTTCACAACACTACATCGCACCGGCGAGCGGGGCCAGTGAACGCCGCCTCCATCCCGTTCTTCCCGCGGAAGGCGACGGGCACGCCGTCGCACATGACCCTCATGACCCTCCGGCGCGTGCGCCAGCCACCGCGATCGAAGACGGCGACGGCGGCGAGCCTGACCTGGACCTCCATGGTACCAACACCCCCGCCCTTGAGCGGCGCGGCGTCGTCGGGACCCACGTATGCGCCATCCACCTCGAGGCGGAAGGCGAGCGTGGTGGTGTTCCGCGGCGGCTGCGCGAAGGGCGGGAGCGTGGCGACGGCGATGGGGGAGGACGGGGCGAGGGAGACGGAGGCGAGCGGGGAGAAGTAGGTGACGGTGAGCTTGGAGTTTGGGTTGTCGGCGAGGAGGGAGGCGTCGAAGGAGGCGGAGAGGGAGGAGTTGGCGGCGGAGTAGGCGACGCGGGAGAGGGTGAGGGAGGCGAGGGAGAAGGCCGGGACGCGGGGGCGGAGGAGGAGCCAGACGATGAAGGTGGCGGCGCCGAGGAGGAGGAAGGCGGCGACGACGAGGCCGAGGAGGCGGCGGAGGCAGGTGGGCGGAGGCGGGTGAGGCGGGTAGGGGTGGTGGTGAGGAGGAGGAGGTGGTGGGTAGTGGTGGTGGTGGTAGGCGTGCGGAGGAGGAGGGGGCGGGTGGGAGTGGGAGTGGGGCGGCGGCGCAGGGTAAGGGTAGGCGACGGCGAAGGCGGCGGTGCCGTTGGTGGCGGCGGGGGGTGGGGCGGCGGAGGCGAAGTAGGCGGCGTTGGAGGAGGGGGGTGGGGGTGGGTGGTTGGCTGGGTAGCCCATGGCGGGCGCGGGTGGTGGCGGGGACTTGGGGTTGGGGTGATCGGGCGGGTGGGAGGAGGAGGAGGAGGGGTGCATGGCGGCGGCGGAGTCGCCGGAGTGGTGGTAGTGAGGTAGTAGTACTAGTGATTTGGGATCTGAGGGGGAGGGGGGGAGCAAATCGATTTTGGTGAGGAGGGTGAAACGCAAATTGCAACGGCGGTGCATGGATGGATCGTCGGTTGCAACTGCGCGTCTGCGCGTGGGGGCGTCGCACTTGTTTGTTCCTATTTGGTGTTTTTCGGTTTGGTTTTGATTTTCTATATATACAAATGGTGGTGAAACGGGAATTGGTTTTATCTTCGGTTTTTGTTTCTTTTTCTTGTGGCTGTTGACCTAAGATTTGACTAAAAAAAAATATACAGCACGATTACTCTACGGAATGGCGGTTTGGCAAATGCTCTAACTTCTAAATCTAACTGCTATGAGTTGCGTCTGATGTGAAGTTATGGAGCAGTTTAAACTCAGCCCTAACTCCACATCTCTAAACTTATTTTGTGGTAGTACTTAAAACCGCTCCACTCTATTTTGGGATAGTGCTGAAACTGTTTCTTTTAGACTCTAGCGCTAAAACAAGTGTAGTTGAAACCGAAGCTCAGCCAAATATGCCTCATGTATACACTTCTCTTTTAGATTACATTCATTTCTCTGGTTCGAGGGAGTAACTCCCTTAGTTTCGCCAGCTGCTAGACCATATAAAATTGTTTTTATATAGAAGTTGCATTTAAAAAAAATCCATTATGCAAGTTTATAATAATTAATACTTAATTAATTTTACGTGGATGGTTTCTCTTGTTTTACGTGCCACAAGAAAAGTTTCAATCAAAACACTCTCCAGAATACAGCTTTGGCAAGTTTTGACAGCAATCAAGATTCTTTTAGTACGATAAATTTTGAATTCAAACCAAAACAATCGTATATTTAAAGGCTAGAAAGTAATCACAAAGTAACATTGTCATGCAAAAGGAGAGCATGTGACTTAAAAAATAATTAGCAAAAAATGCATGTTAACAAGAATTATGTGGAACTTAAACTCGGGTGAACAGGTTTCATCGGAAAAAACCCTAAATGCATATAAGCTTGAATTCGAATGAAGAGGTTCCACCGCAAAAGAAACTAACTAGCTAAACATAAATTAACCATAAATGAATGTAAGTGTAGGACTTAGGGGGCTGTTTGGTTGCTATCTTCAATTTACCATGTCTAAGGTTAGCTATACCACAACTTCTCAGTTAATCGTTTAGATCATTGCCACAATTGTGGCTTATCACATTTTTCAGCCATATATATAGTCCCACGTGACATTGATCTAAATTTTTTTTAACTAAGTTTGTCTAAGGATTTATGAGCCACAACTTTTATGGCAAGCCACAACTTGCCTAAATTTTGGTTTGGCAAAGTTAGGCACTAACCAAAAACAACCCCTTAAATACAGATAGATAGATAGGTTACACAGCAAGAAACTAACATTTTCATTGAAATATTATAGTATTTAAAATCTCTTAATTATAGCCTTTATTCCGAGCAATAACGACGAAAACGTGAGTGTGAACATATATATAAGTGGAACAGACACGGTTTCCCCGCAGAATTAAGACGATGCTGGACGATGATCTAAGCTGAATGTTTAGTGCTGACGTTACGAGTTGCAACAACTCTGCAAACGATGCTTTCTTTTCTTAATTAATTGGTTCTCTTCAAACTTAAACTGGTGGCCACAATTAAGCTTCAGAATAGAACCTCTAGAAAGGCAGGCACCGAGTGAATCGATTCGTGCTCTGCTCTGCATTTATCCTCCTTCCTTTTCATACCGTCCTACACGTCTCACGCTTGACGTTGCAGACTTGTAATCTGGTAAAACTCACCAATCGATCGTCTAATCCTACCACTGTTAAAAAAGCGATGGAGAAAGTGAAAACAGTGATGAAAATAAGGAATACTAATTAATAGAGATAAAAGTATGGCCGTAGCTTCTTTGAGACCTTGAGACTGAACCTTCCTCATCCTCCTAATGAGAAAGAAACTTAGCATCGTCTGCTTTATTGTGCCTTTCGGTTCCAATAGTACAGTCTCACCGCAATAAGCATTATTTCTACAGCACAAAACAGTATTGGCGGATGCCTAAAATACTCTCACCGCCCCATAATATAACAGATTTTAGAAGGATGTAGCACTTCGTAGTACTACGAATCTGGACAGGTACATCCCTCTAAAATCTCTTATATTTTAGGACGGAAGGAGTATATCAGTAGGACATCCTAAACACCAGAGCTGAAATATTTGGCTGTAAATTCGAGGGACGGTATCACTTAGGTCTGTAAAATTAAAAATTACACGTTTCAATTCACCATCTTGATTTAATGTACCACACCATGGCCCTATTCTTTTCTCCAACAAAAGTTGGATAAACTTTTGCATACTCATGGCACGCTTTTCAAACGGCTAAACAGTGTGTTTCGTGCGAAAACTTTTTATATGAAAGTTGTTCTAAAATATCAGATTAATCCATTTTTCAAGTATGAAATAATTAAAACTTAATTACACGTTATTATCATTTCGTTTTGTATGAAACACTTAATCGATATCTTTATCTTCATCTTCAGATATTCAAACACCACCCATGCCCTATCCCCGCTTGAACCAAGCTGACCGCCAACGTGGACAAAACACTTGCATCCTGCTTCCTCCGCATGACAGCACGTCGCAAAATTTGCATTTAGCCCCCATCTGAGTTTCCAGCGCTTCTGCTCTCCATATTGCTGTCCTCATTGGCAGAACACTCCCCAAACAGCTGCTCCACCATATCTGGGCTGTACTTCACATATTTTGTGCGGGTTCTTACCATTCTCAACAAGGTTACTACAACATCAAATGTATGTATATAGTATACTGTCATTATCTTAGAACAGAAGGGAGAGAAAAAAGATAGAATGTTGCAGAAATAGCCACTGTTATATGCTCACGCCACCATCCCATCGTGCGTGCACTATGCAGTTCAGTTGCCTTGCTTTTTGACAACTAGATGCACACTACAATCTTAATTGGAGACTTGGATGCGAAGAGATAGGAAAAGGTGATAAGAGCTAATAGTAATGGTTTCTTTGTTTGACATATGAGAGGTTTTCTTGTAGGAGGGGTTGGCATATAGAATTGCAATTTAGGATGCTAGATCGAATAGAATTTCAGATGCAGCCAAATAAAATCAATTGCATGGAGGACATTGGGTGGAGTTTAAGCATCTTTTTCAAAATCACCAAAGGTTTCTTGAGCAGTCTGAGCCAAGCCCTTAGCCAAAGCATCTCATCTCAGGGCATGATTTTCCTTCAAAAATTACCTCAATCTGGTAACAGGTTCAAACTATTAAGTTGACAGATTTTTCTTTCGCCTGTTAGTAGTATTAGTTTGGCCTATATATGTGGCAAGCAAAACATTGATGCTTGAGTCTTAGGTCTGAACATACACAAAGCAATATGGACCGCAATTCGGATAAAGTGGATCCAGTTTGTAATTTTAGGCCTGGTGTTTGTAATTTTAGGCCCGGTTTAGTTCCCTAAAAATTTTTTCTAAAAACATCACATCAAATCTTAGGAAATTTTATTTTCCACATTAGCTTCACTCGCAAATTAATTAAAATTCAATATAAATTCTAGAAACAAGTTATTAATCCCAAAACGAAAATCAGAGTGTAACAGTTGTGTTGTTGGGAGTGTTCACATCGGCCTACTAAAATTTGAGAATTTTGTTACTAACAAAATGTCTGAATTTCTCCTCCTTTGGAATGCAATAGCTTATTCAAGGAAATCAACAACTAAAATTTTGAGGGGAGGGAATGACTAGCAAACGATGATTGGGCCACATGGCACCTTTCATATCTATCTATTATCTATTATCTATTATATACTAAAAGTCCATTAAACTTCCTACAAACGCTCTCAAATCGCCATGTGGCCTCCTACAAACGCTCCTAGATCGCCACGTGGCATTCTATAATCTCATCGTCGATTTTCTTTTAAATCGGTGGACCCGTTAATTTTAACCATTAGATCTCCATAAAAAAAATAAATCTGGTATCCCACTTTTTTTGAAAAAAAAATGACATGTTTGCTATAACTAATATATATAGAAAAAGAAATAGGAGGAGAACGTACACCAAAATTGGGATCAGGTGAGGATCGGGCAGGGTATGTACGTTCTTTTTTTTTTCCACTGGCGTACATACGTTACTATACGTAAGTATTATTTGTTTCGCCTTTTTTTTTTGCAAACAGTACGTTTCGTTTACACCTTCGGAAAACAGTACTACTACTACGCATATAGTAAGTACACGATGGGAGTTTAGAAGGAAGTGTTAATAGATATAAAATCACATTTTACCGATTTAGATATTTTTTTCTCAGAATTTTTAATATTTCTTTTAGTTTAGAGATATGACATGTGGTGACCTACGGGAGTTTATATGAGTGCCACGTGATGGCTTAAGAGTGTTTATAGGAAGCTCAATGAGTTTTTATACTAAAAACCAATTAAATTTCCTATAAACGCTCTCGGCCGCCACATGGCTTCTACAAATGCTTCTAGATCGTCACGTTGTATTCTATAATCACACCGTTAATTTTCATTTGAATTGATGGACCTGTTAATTTTAACCATTAGATCACCATCTCGAAGAAAATAAATCTGGTATCCCAACCATCAACACCTTACTTACATGAGATAAAAAAACAAATGCAGTATGTACTCCTTCGACCCTCTGAATCGCCCCTCCTGTCCTATTTTTTAGTTAACACTCAATATATCAAAAATTAATTCGGACATCTAAATGATCATAACTCCCAAGTTACAATTTTATTCTCAGTTTTTGTCAATTGTTGTGTTATTTATAATGAAATATAAAATTTAAAATCCATATTGCTCATATTTTGTTATCTAAAAATTAGATCGTGCAGCCGTTCTAACTACAAATGTCTGGGCCTAATGGTATGCCCATGAACGCTTGTAAGTCGATCGCCACGTAACACTTTAATAAATTAAAAAAAATCTATAAGTGTGACAAATGAAAATAAAATATCTAACCATTGTTTCCACTTAAATCAATGGATCCAATATCTTATATGGTTAGGTCTCCCTTTAAAAGAAAATCCCAAAACTCACTCCCTCCTGTTCCTCTCTCCCTACTATTCCTTCTATGGTCTTTTTATCTCCATAGCAACTAAATCC